TTTAAAGGATTTGAAATTTGAATTTTTTTTTGAAATTTGAGTACCTACTATATGGAAAAATAATGGATAATAATTAAATATTTATTTCAAAAAATCTATTTAAGTTCAAAATTATTTTTAGAGTAAACTAAAATATTTTTAGGGTTTGGGAAAAAGTCAAAGTTTTGTCTAAAAATCAGGAAATTCTTTCAATCATTCATTGAATAATTTATTTTCAGAGTTATTATTTATGACCGGGAAAAATAATTTATGACCGGGAATGGACCGGGAAATGACCGTGAATTTTTTTTACAAAAAAAGTAGCCACCCTGAGAAATTACATAATTCTCGAAAAACATTCTTAAATTTATTATTTATAAACTATTTAACAAATAATTTTACTTGAAATTTCCAAATTAATATAGTTCATTAGTTACATCCAGAGAAAAAATATATTTGACTCAGAATCAAGTAGAATTTTTATTTGATTCAAATAAATTTTAATTGGTTTAAATAAAATTTTATTTGGCTGTAATATTTTTTTTATTTATGTCGAATAAAATTTTTATTTAAAACAAGTAAAAAGTCTAGTTGATTCTGAGACAAATATATTCAAACAAATATATTTAAGTTTATTTAACTCAAACAAAATATATTTGTTTTAAATAAAAAATTTTCTCAGGGTGTAATAATTGAATTTTGAAAGAATTGCGTTCGAAATTTTTATAAAAAATTCAATTTTAGACGGTTCAGTATTTAAAATTCTTTTAAATCCTAATCTCTTTGGAAAAATAATAATAAAATATTTATTTAAAAAAAAGTTATTACTGTTTCGAATAATTTTACAATTGAAGATATTCACAAATGTCGTTAAAATATTTTTTTATTTATTATCTCTAATAATTTTTAGAGTGAAATCAAAATATTCTTTAGGGGCTGGGAAAAGGTCAAAATTCTATTTCTGAAAATCGGGGAGAAAAAATGAAATTCGTAATTTTGTTTCTTTTCCTTTATTTCTTTTTATATTAACGTTTTCTTTTACTTAATAAATGTAAAAATTTTAAACTTATAACTTCTTATAAAAAAATTATAATGTGCGAAACCGAAACTTGTCGCAAATTTAAAAAAACCATAAAATTGCCAACGAATATCGCGAATAAATTAAAACTAAACTCCACCCCTAAGTTTTAAAATAGACGATAAATTTTTTTTTTAAGAACCGAATGCTTCCTGTGGCACATGAATTTTTTCGAAAGAGCAGTAATTTTCAGGGGAAGAGTTGGAAGTTTAGGAGTATCGGTAGCATAAAGCGGCCATTTTGCCAGAGAGAATCTGAAGAGAAGAGATAGGGTTAAAATTTTTTTTTTATTGTTTTATTTTGTTTTCGAAAAGGCGGTAGTCAGATAGTGTGCATCTTTACATATATGGTAGATATACATATATGTAACTCTTGAGATTATAATGGTGGGGCCTGAAAGAGTCCGCCTTCTGAACGAGCCACCACCCCCGGGGGCAAACAATCTTGCATGGAGATCCGACTTAAACGATAGGCCCGTTCAAGTAACGCCCTACGAAACTCTTTAATTCCCGTTTTGAAATGAGCAACCACCAAAGCCACCACCACACACCATATATGTATATGCAGAGAGCGGGATTTCCACGAAAATACTTTACCTTCGTCGCGACCTCTTCTTCTTCTTCTTCTTTATATACATCACAATCATCCCGAACTGTTATTACTGAAAATATTTCCATATCCCGGCTAGACGACCCTAATACCACCCTCGGAGTGAAGAATTTTGTCTCGATGCCTCTTTTTTCCCCTTTTTTGGAATTTTTTATTTTTTTTATTTTATTTTTCACTCTTCTCTTTTTGGACTTGAAGAAAGATGAGGCAAAATATTTATCAAAAGACTGTCATCATCTTTTTCGAAATTGCAATTTGTGCGGTAGCTTCTTCTTCTTAATCTTTTATGCTGCTTTTATGTTGCACTTTTGAATTTATAGTTTTTTGGTATGGTTTTTAATTTGCAGTTTGAAATTTGTTGATATTTGGGATTTTTACATTTTTGGGTAATCAAAAATTTGAAGTAGTGTAATTTTCACTGAAAAATTGGCGAGGAATTTTGTTTGGTATATTAAACAAAATTACTGGTTCTTTAACGTAAACTATGGTCTACTGAATTGAAAGCGGGGAAATTTTTACTGATTCCGATTTGAGGTAAATTACTATTTAGAAACAGATTTAGAAAATTTAGTATAGGTTTAGTAGATCTAAAATATACTAGCAACAATTCGCGGGCTAAAGCGCGCAGTTAACTTCTTTGTACCTTTTTTAAAAATAAAATTAGCAATTTTAAAAATAATAGAATTTAAAAAATTGCTAATAAAAATTTTTGTTGAAAACACTAAAAAAAATTCAATTTTGGAGAAATTATAAACAATTGCAGAAATTCAATTTTTTTCAAACAAAATAAATAAAATTCTTATAAACTTTAACTATGTTCAAAATTTGAAAAAAATTTTCGTAAAAATCCCAATTATCTTTATAAATAACAAAATTCTTCTCCAAAAGTCAATTATTTTCATAAATGTCAAAAAAATTCAATTATTTTAAAAAAAAAATTGTAATAAAATTGTATGTAAACATTTAATTATTTTCATAAATAATAAAAATTTCACAGGAATTCAATTATTTTTATAAATAATAAATTTTTTTTAAGGGATTCAATTATTTTTATAAATAATAAATTTTTTTAAGGAATTCAATTATTTTCATAAAAAATAATTTAAAATTCTAGAAAATAATAATTGAATTGAAATGATGAAAATAATTTTGAAGAAGTTACAGTAAAAGTATTTCTTAAGTAGAAAATAATTATTTTATCACTCGGTCATCTTTAATTATTAGAAAACATGAAGAAATCGATCACTCCAAATCGAAGCAATCGATATCTTCATGTTTTATACCAAAAATTTTATAATTTGTTTAATTTAAAAAAGGTTTGAATTTGAAATTTTCGAACGTCTTAATTCCTGTGGAAAATCCTGTTCCAAAAACAAGATTAGAAATAGGAATTGTGCAAATATTTTTCTTCTTTTTCTAAAACGAAATAATGATTTTGTTAAAAAATTGAGATTCATAAAGAAAAATAATGCAAAATAAATAAATTTTTTATTTTTTAATCACAGTTGTTTAACAATTTTCTAATTTCGCTTAGAAGTAAGGAACAAAAATCTGCATAATTTCAATTTGACAAAACACAATATTTAACAAAATTTTAGTCTTTTAATGAAAAAAAGTAAAAAAATTTTTGATGATTTCTATTTGTCATTGCAATTTTGAATTAACTATAATAATTTGAATGTTTTTTCATTCATTCATTCATTCATTCATTCTCTTTTTCTGTCCCTCACACTCTGAAATTGTCTTTCGCTTATACTTTTGTTTTTATTGTTTTTATAAGAAAATTATTGTTATTTATAATTATTGTTTCTGTTATTGTGTTAATATAAGAATATTGTTACTGTAACTTCATCAAAATTATATTCATTATTTTAATTCAATTATTATTTTCTAGAATATTGAATTATTTTTTATGAAAATAATAATTATTGAATTCCTGTAAAACTTTTATTATTTATGAAAATAATTAAATGTTTGCATACAATTTTATTAAAAAATTTTTTTAAATAATTGAATTCTTTTTGGGAAATATTATTAAAATAGTAGATCTTGAAAATCATTGAAATTAGAAAATTCTTTTTAAAATTAAATTCTTAAGAAAAATTTTATTATTTATAAAATTAATTGAATTCTTGTCCAAGAAATTGATTAAAATCTTTAAAATCATTTAAATTTTACAAACAATTTTATTATTTTTGAAAATAATTGAATTTTCCTGAAAAATTTACTTATTTATAAAAATAATTGAAATCCCCTAAAAAATTTATTTATTTACAAAAATAATTGAATTCTTTCCAAGAAAATTGATTAAAATCTTTAAAATCATTAAATTCCCCTGAAAAATTTGATTTTTTATAAAAATAATTGAAATCCCCTAGAAAATTTACTTATTTGTAAAAATAATTGAATTCTTTACAAGAATTTTGATTAAAATCTTGAAAATAATTTAAATTTTGTAAATAATATTATTATTTTTGAAAATAATTGAATTCCTCAGAAGAATTTTGTATTATTTATTAAAATAATTGAATTCTTGCTCAAGAAATTGATTAAAATCTTTGAAATAATTGAAATTTCGCAAGGACTTTTATTGTTTTGGAAAATAATTGAATTCTTTTCAAGAAATTGATTAAAATCTTTGAAATAATTAAATTCTTACAAAAAATTTTAATATTTTTTATATTAATTGATTTATATGAATTGAATTTTTAAATATTTTTCTTTTGTTTTTGAATAATTGGAATTATTTTGTGAAATTTTAGTAAAATAGTAATTAAAAATTTAATTCTTTTTGGGAAATTTTATTAAAATAGTAGATATTGAAAATCATTGAAATTAGAAAAATGCATTTTATTTTTGAAAATAATTGAAATTAGGACAAGAATTTTTTTTGACATTTATGAAAATAATTGAACTTTGGAGAAGAATTTTGTTCATCATCAGAAATCAGGAAAATCTTGATGAAAATGATTTGAAAAATTAACATATTACGTAATTGGATCATTTTTATTTATTTTTTATTTATTTAATTAATTTGACAGACATTTTTTTCTTGACAGCTTTATAATACTCATTTTATTATTGTTATTATTATTACTTTTTTTTCCTTGTAATGTATAAAATTAGAATGTCAGTTTGTGTTGGTTTTGTTTGTATTGTATTTAGTTGTTGTTTTTCGATAACATTTTATTAATTTTTCTTCTCCTTCAATTGTGATAATATTTTCTTAAATTTATACTGAAATAACAAATATCGAAAAAAAATTATTAACATTTAATAAAAGTTGAGTGAAAATAACAATTCAATTGAAAAAGTATACCACTGTAGTTGAAAAGCATTATTCTGCTTCACTGTATTTCGATACATAATTAAGACAAAGTAGTTTGTCGTTAGTAAACAATTGTTTAAGATAATAATTTTCTACACTGAAAGAAATTTAGTCGAAAAATTCAACTATCATTTTATAGTTGAATAGTTGAATTTACGTGCGTTTAATGTCGTATACTTTGCCTCCAATATTATTACCTGCAGGACCATAGTTGCAAACTAGTGTGGTTATGATTACGTGATTGTTAAATCTGTGGTTAATATAACCACAACCAATGAATCTAGTTGTTGACCATACCAATTGGGTATAACGATGAACATCTGAATAATCCCTGCAAAGAAAAGAAATTCAGAAATGTATAATTATTATCGTTAAAATAAAAAATCAACTCTTTATCATTTACAATTGTATACTTTTAATTATACATGTAACATTTTTTTTACTTCTTTCTCTATTAAAAATTCCCACATATGGGATTCTACATGGGTTCTTATGCAAAAACTCATAAATTCTTTGATTTAAAGAAATTATTTCATTAGTTCTTTGTCGTTGGCTAAAATAAATATTTCTTTGGATTAAAGAAATCTTTTATTTGAATATATAATATAAGAATAATGCAAGAACCTACACCCAGAGAAAAAAGTTATTTATTTTAACTAAAAGTGTATATTTAAGAAAAATTTATTTGTTGCAAATAAATATTTTATTTAAAATAAATAAACTAATATTTATTTCAAATAAATGCACTAATTAATCTAAAATAAAGAAATATATTTGCAATTTATGAAATAGTATATTTGTAGCAAATAAAAAATATATTTGATTCAAATAAATGTTTGTTTGACTTATAAGTAGACGCCTGCGCATATTGCATTGCTATAGTAAAACAATAAGATGTTTTGCTTTTAACAGTTTAACGCGTACAATTATAAGAGGTTTATTCATCATGAATAGTTAACAAATTTAATTGATTTAAGTACAGAATTTTTCTTTTTAAGTGAAAATTTTAATTAGTACAAAGTAACAGATTTGTATGTGATTTCATTTACATTTTAGTGTCTTATTTGAGATTTTGTGAGAAAAATGTGACAGTGGACTTTTACATATGAAGTGAAAAAGTAAAGTAAAATGACTAACAATAAAAAAACCTGACTTTATTTAACAAATATTCTTATAAAAATAAACATTTATTTTAATGAATATTAAAAGTTCCATTAGTGATTGTGATTGTTAAATTTATTTGAAGGTTATAAGTGAATTTTAATATTTTAGAATGCTTACAGGATTTATTAAAATGAAAAGTGTTTTTTATTTGTTCTAAATATAAAATATATTTAAAGAAAATATAAAATTTTTTTCATTTAAATAAAAATGGATATTTAAACGAAATATATTAATTCAAATAAAAAATATTATTTGAGCTAAATAAAAGTTTAGTTGGTTCTGTGACAAATATCCTTTTTTATTTGTTTGAAATAAATTTTATTTAATTCAAATAAATCATTTCTCTAGGTGTACGTAGAATCTTATGTAGCAACCAAAGTGGAAATTTTAGGGTTTGAACGAAAACAAATTTTAATCCAAATATTTGTACAATTTTTTTTTTGCTAATTTACTATTAATTAAAATGTTGTATTGTCTTACATGACACGTTCGACTTGTCGGGAATCGAATTTATTGACCTCTTTATACCAGTCATTTATAATTCGTGTTATTATATTGGATGGAACTGTTTCTACATATAACACACCAATGTTTTGACCAACAAGGAAACGTTCTGAAATTAAGATATATTATTTTTCATTAAAACAAAACCTAGTTCTTCCATAAAAACGTTTTATTTTGTAAATAAATATTTAAAATACTTGTTCAGGGTTGCCGCACAGGTCATTCATAAAAGAATTCTAAATTTTATTGTCCAACTCAACAGCCTTTTAAAAAAAAAAGAAAATCTTCAATTCAATTTAAAATTCTTTCTATTTCTAACAAAAATTGAACTTTACAGATTTAAAATTGAGTTATATTTTCAAACTGTAAAAATTTCACATTTAAAACGGAAAAATAAATTAATTTATAATTTTTTTCTTTTTGGAATAATATTATTACAAAAATTATTCTCTAAATTTGAATTAGAAAATATTTCAATTATTTATAACAAAAGTGATACGAAATTTCTAAAATTAATTTTTCAAATCTAAATAGAATGAGTTATTAAAATAAATGAAATTATGTTTTTCTTAGAAAATAAATTTTTAAAAAACCATTTGCATTAATAATAATTCGTTTTTCTGCAATAATTTATAAGTCACTATTTTTATATTTTAGAATGTCAAACTAATATTAGGTATATTAATATTGAATTAATTAAATTAATTAATTAATTAATTATTAATTAATTAAATTTCAAATTATGTTTTAGAAAAGTTGAATTTTAAAAAATTGTAATTAAAAATTCTGAATAACCCAGTAATAAGGGGTGAATTAAAGTGGATTGGTACTTTTATGCCCTTAAATTCCAAACCAATTCCGTTTTTGTCCTCAATCTTAATGAATTCCTTTTCTATTGTTAAGTTGATAATTTCTATCCAATTCAATTCTCTGTAACCACGTGACCAGAGTCTGAATTCACTTTAATGCCGTTTAAGGGAATCATTTGTTGTGGAGTTAATGCCTTTTAATTAACATTGAATTCTTTAAAGGGCATTAAAGGGAATTGAAATCTTGAAAACATACAGTGCCGCTCAATAACTTTTGCCCACCCTACAGCGATTAAAGGCTTTACAAAAAGTTTTGTATTTTGTTTATTATTAAAGATAAAAAGCTCGAAAAGGTCTTTTTTTAAAGCTCTTTTCCTGAGCTTTAACACTGTATAAAACAAAAATTAAAAAAAATTAATTTGTTAATGTTTAAAAAATGTTATTGCACCATAAAATTTTTCGTTTTTTTTCGTTTTTTTTAAAGTGATACAGTTTTATAGAAAATGGTCGCATTTTAATCCAACACATATTTTCTGAAAGCTAGTTTTATCACCTTTAAAATGCATTTTTAAAAATTTTTATACTTTAATCCGTTTACAAACAATATAATAAGTAAGTATTACCTATATCAAAAGTTATTTAAATGATTTGTGAGTTAAAATTATTGAAAAAAATTAAATAAATACGATGAAAAATTTTCTTCCTTGTTGTAGTGAGTGTAAAAAGCGAGTTTCTACAATTAAAACATAAAAATATAAAAAATGAAAAAAAAATTTTTTTCAAAAAAAGTCAAAAAAATTAAAAAAAAAAAAATTTTAATATTTTTTTCTAATTTTGCACACAAAAAGGAACAATTTATTTTATTAACAATTTTTTCCTAAAGTAACCGTTTTTGAGTTATCAACAATTGAAAAAAATGACTAATTTTTAAAAAAAAAATCATATTTTTCTTAAAAATTATCTTATAAAAATTTTTAAAAATGCATTTTAAAGGTAATAAAACTAGCTTTCAGAAAATATGTGTTGGATTAAAATGCGACCATTTCCTATGAAACTGTATCACTTTAAAAAAAGCGAAAAAAACAAAAAATTTTATGTTGCAATAACATTTTTTAAACATTAACAAATTAATTTTTTTAATTTTTGTTTTATACAGTGTTAAAGCTCAGGAGAAGAGCTTTAAAAAAGACCTTTTTGAGCTTTTTATCTTTAATAATAAACAGAATACAAAACTTTTTGTAAAGCCTTCAATCGCTGTTGGGTGGGCAAAAGTTATTGAGCGGCACTGTAATTTTTGAGAGTTTGTTCTTTACACGGAAAGAAACTTAATATCTAATATTAAAAAAGTATTTTACAAAATGATACAATGCGAAATTTTAATATCAGAAATACTAAATTTTAAAAACATTTATGACGGGTTCCACGTTAAGTGACCCAGGTCAAAATTTTAAATGTTTGGGATCGGGTTAAAATTTTGCAGAAACAGTAGTCCTATTAGATACAATTAAAAATACCAAATATTATTAATTTATTTAAACAAATATTAAAACTGGAGGGGGTCAAAGTTTAAATTTTTGGTCTAACATGGAATATTTGAAAAATTTGTAGTTTCTTTAAAACAAAACGAAAATACGTTTTCTATTTTGGGTTTTTCTGCTGTTTTTCAACACTCTCTAATGGTGTAAACAAATGTAGAGAAAAAAAATGTTAGACCTTGAAAAATTAAATTAAAAAATAAAATTTCATTTTTTCATCAAATGGACAGTTTTTATTTTTTAAAAAAAATTTTTATCATAAAGGTGACGTTTTTTCCTAAAAAAAATGTATAGGTCAAAACGTGGGACAAGAACTTTTAACTGGTCAAAATAAACATTTACTTCTGCAATCCACCGCCCCTGCTCGTTGTTGGGCTATATATTGTTTATAACAATTGAAATAAATTATTTTATGCTTTATTAATTATCTGGTGGTCATATTGGATGAATTTAAATTGATTTAGATCATGTGCATCAACGAAATAAGAAAATAAACCTCCTTTTTTTAAAAAGGTGTATTAATTTGTTAACTTTGATTTAAAAAAAATTATAAATAATTAAAATCTCCAAAATCTGCCTCAAAGGATGTCTTAAGAATTTATTCCCCTTTAACTTAAGACAAAGAACACTCAAATCGGTTAAAAATTGTAAGCTATAGACATTTTTTAATAGTAAATTGTAAAAAAAATTCCACTGTGGGACGGTGCACGGCAGAAGTAAATGCTTAATTTGACTAGTTAAAAGTTCTTGTCCCACGTTTTGACCTATACATTTTTTTTAGGAAAAAACCTCACCTTTATGATAAAATTTTTTTTAAAAAAATACAAACTGCCCATTTGATAAAAAAATGAAATTTTATTTTTTAATTTAATTTTTCAAGGTCAAACAATTTTTTTTCTCTACATTTGTTCACACTATTAGAAAGTGTTGAAAAACAGCAGCAAAACCCAAAATAGAAAACGTATTTTCGTTTTGTTTTAAAGAAACTACAAATTTTTCAAATATTCCATGTAAATTTTTGACCTGGGTCACTTGACGTGGAACCCGTCTTATATGAAATTTAATAACGTTATATTACAATTTGTTAAATATTTTTAATATTTCATATAACTTTATTAAATTTCATATAATTTTTTTTAAGGTTTAGTTTTTCTGATATCAAAATTTCGCTTTATCGCATTTTATCCTACAATTGTAAAATTAAATTTTTTGAAAATTTTAATAGCTGTATTTTTATTGAAATTATTTGAAATTTTAATTCCTTTGGAAAAATAAATATCAATTAGTTTTTGAATAAAAATTACAATTGAATTTCTTAACGAAAATTATTGAAGTTTTGAACAATTTAATTGTAGAAATTCTGATTAAAATTTGGTTTTTAAAAAATTGAAAAAAATTAAGTGAAATTTCATTAAAATTATATTTTAAGGAATTTTATTTTATTTTTTTTACTTTAAAATATAATTTTGAAAAATATTCGTATTTTTAAAGAATTCTAACTAAAAATTTAGAAAATAATTGAATTTAAAAAAAATTTAGAATTTATCTTTGTTACTTGGATAAGAAAAGAAGTTAACGAGTTTTTTTTAAGTTGTTAAATTTAATTTTTCGATAGCTACTTGTTTACTATTTCTTTTCGGTTTTTAAATCTACTGTTATTTTATTTAACCTCAAAAAATTATTTATTTTATCAAAAATATCTCACTTTCAAGTTGTAAATACATAACTATCTTGGCGATTTCTGCACTATTGATGTTCAAATAATTCTTAATTTTTTTAAATTTAGAAATCTATTTGAATAATTATTTTTTTTTTAAAAATGAAGTATTTCTATTAAATTAAAAAAATAATTTTAAACTAACAATGGCCTTCAAAGTTATTACTTACGAACGTGACGGCATTCGTCTTGATGAAATGGGCATGTATTAACCCACCTCTGTGCAATGATTGCCAATTCATCATCCCATATCTGAAGGCATGAAATAAAAAATAATTAAAAAGTAAAGTTAAAATAGTTATTTAATTTTTATAATTTTCGTAATGAAACCAACCAAATCTGGAATGCTTATTGCTGGAGGTTGTGGTCCAGGATTTCCTCTTATTTCACCTCCCGATGCAACTTTTTGTCTAAGGTTATTATGCAATTCTAAAATTTCCCTTTTCTGATCTGAATTGAGTCCCACATGTGATACAAGACAAACTGGATCTGGGTTTGGATTCTAATGTTATTTTATGTTAATTAATATTATACTATATTAATTAACGTAATATTATAATATTAATTAATGTAGTAATTAATATAAATTAATATAACAATCATAGGCTTCGCACTCATCTATACTAAAACCTACTATTTACTACTTTTTTTACAATTTGCTACTATTTGGATACTTTTTTAGATTTATGACATTAAAAGCTACTTTTTTCTTATTATTTTTAGGGGAAATTTGCATCACTTTAAATTCACTAATAGTTGTAACAAAAAAAATTCTAACAATTGTAAGAAAATTCTTTAAAACTATTTAATTATTCTCAAAAACTTTTCGAAAAACAATGATTTTCAATATTTATACCTACAATTTTAATAAAATTCCACAAAAAATTTTTGATAAAATTCTTCGAAAATATTCACTTTTTTTAAAAGTAATAAAACTTTCAAAGGAATTGAATTTGGTATTTAAAATATTTCATAAAATTTTTCGAAATAAATCAATTTAAAATTTTTTATAAAATTCTACCGCAAGAATTCAATTATTTTCACAAGCAATAATATTTTTCACGAAAAATGAATTATTTATAAAAATTTAAATAAAATTCCAGGCAAGGATACAATTTATTATTTTCGTATAATAAATAATAAAATTCTTCTCAAGAATACAATTGCCTACTTTTAATAATTTTTAATAACATTCATCACAAGAATTCAATTATTTTCCCAAATAATAACATTTTTCACGAGAATTCAATTATTTAAAAAAAATTAAATAAAATTCTTCGCAAGAATTCAATTATTTTCATAAATAATAAAATTCTGCTCAGAAATTCAATTATTTTTTTAAAAAATTGATAAATTCTTTCTTTAATTCTTCACAATTATTCAATTATTTTCCCAAATAATAAAATTTTTAACGAGAATTCAATTTTATTTGACAAAAATTAAGGTCCTGAAAACACTCTACGTTAAAAAAAAAATAAATAAAATTCTTCGCAAAAATTCAATTATTTTCATAAATAATAAAATTCTTCTCAGAAATTAAATTATTTTTTAAAAAATTGATAAATTCTTTATAAGAATAAAATATTGAGAAACATTTAATTATTCAATGTATATATTATTTGTTTTTATATTTAAAATAATATTTAATAATATTTATTTATTTTTTTTTTATTTATTTATTTATTTTTTTATTTTTTTATTTTTTATTTTTTATATTTAAATAGTTGAATTTCAGTTGAACTCTCTAATAAGAATTGATTTAAAAACGAATTTCAGTTGAAATTTTAGATAATAATTGAATATTAAAAGTGTTATATTACGATTTTTTTAGAAATAACTAAATTTCAAAAGATTATTAAATTGAAATCGTTGATAATTTTAATTGTTGTAAAACTGTAATAACATTTAAATTTTTACTTTGAAAAATTATTAATTTATTTTTTTAATTCTTGTGAAGAATTTAAATTAAATTTCAATAAATAATTTCATAATTGTATTATTAAAAAATTTTAGAATTAAAGTTCTTAGCAGGATTAGAGTAAAAATAAATATTTTTGATTGAAATGAGGAATCAGTCAGGGAAATACTGAATCAAATTTTTGTGAATCGACTAAAACATTTTTTTTTATTCGTTAACATTAATTTTCTATAGCTACTTTTTTCAGTTTTAAAGCTACTTTTTGATTCTTTTTTAAAATGAATTCAAACAATTATGTTACATGTTCGAACTTAATTTGTTTCCTTAAATTCTGATAATGTACTTACGGGAAAAAGACACATTGTGTGAGTTCTGCAAAGTCGACAATAATCTTCTCGTCTATGCTGACCAGATATCAACGCAATCACTGAGAATATAACAAAAAGTGTCAAACTGCGTAATTGAATCATTTTTGCTTCCTCGTGGAGGAACTTTTGTAGTCGTTTAATTTATAAAATTTTTTAAAGAGCTTTAAACAAATTTTCCTTATAGGAATGTGTTACCTGAACAAATGTCCGTATACGTATGTGTATCTCGTTTTTTGTGAACGCGATAACTCGAAGAAGTTTCAACGAATTTGGTTAAAAATTATAAGGTATTTTTTTTGACTTTTTTCAAAAAAAAATTTTTTAAGTTGGTTATTGAAGTTAATGTATGATAAAATTTTATTCTTTCCATCAAGACGAATCGATTGGTCTGTATAAAGTATAAATATGAGAATTTATAGAGTTAATCATAATTAAAGACGAAAAATTCGCATTTTTATCAAAAAATCAGTTCTTTCAGCAAAATTATGTTGCTGTACAATAAAATCTTACCCCTTACTTTCAAAAATCTTATTATTTTGAATTATTAGTGAATTATTGAATAATTAAAGACGAAATAATTTGCTAAAATCTTTATTATTATTATTATTATTATTATTATTATTATTCTGCTTCACTGTATTTTGACAAAAAATTAAAACACAGTAGTTTTCATTTTATTAAATAATTGTCGAAGATAATAATTTCCTACACTGAAAAAAATTTAGTCGAAAAGTTCAACTACCATTATGTAGTTGAGTGTAAAGTAGTTAAATTAATTATTTTTTCAGTTATGCTAACAATGTTTGTATAGTTGATTTGACTATTTTTGATGTAGTCAAAAAATAATAGTTCAATATGAAGCTGAAGTCTGCAACGCTTTTAAAAAAGAATTTTTTTCAAGTTAAATTCATCTCTAATTTTCATGTGCGTTAATTTTTAAGAAATTAATTGTTACTTAAGAGACAATTTTATTGTTAAAAAATAACATTATTTTGAATTAAAATTAAAAAAACGCATTATTTTTTCGTTTTCGTTTTCAAAAACGTTGCAGACTTCATTCTCATAGTTCAGTTGACTAAAAAAAAGTATTCAAGTTACAGTTGAGGACTTATTGAATTATTGAGAGTAGTTGAAAAGTTGTAAAATCTACTAGAAATTTTTTTTGAATTTACGTGCGTTTAATGTCGTATATTTTTCCTCGAATAAAATTACCTGTAGGACCATAGTTGCAAGCTAGTGTGGCTATGATCTGATTGTTATGATTGAGGTTAATATAACCACAGCCAATGAATCTAGTTGTTGACCATACCATTTGGGTATAACGAAGAACTAGTGTGTAATCCCTGCAAAGAAAAAAAATTGAGAAATGTATCATATTATCGTTAAAATAAGAAATCAAGACTTTATCTTTTACAATTGTAAGTAGAAAGTGTAGAAGTTTATGAGATTTCACATCCAGAAAAAGATTTGTTTGTTTCAAAGAAATTTTCTTTTTTTGATTGTTATTAGGTCAAAGAAAAATTTCTTTGATTTAAAGAAATTATTTCATTAGTTCTTTTTCGTTGACTAAAATAAATATTTCTTTGGATTAAAGAAATCTTTTCTTTGAATAAATAATATGAGAACCCACGTAGAATCTCATGTAGCATCCCATGTTGAATTGGGTTTGAACGAAAAAAAATTTTAATCCAAACATTTGTACACTTTTTTTTTGCTAATTTACTATTAATTAAAATGTTCTGTTGTCTTACATGACACGTTCGACTTGTCGGGAATCGAATTTCTCGACCTCATTATACCAGTCATTTATAATTTGTGTTATTATATCGGATGGAACTGTTGTTACAAATTTCCCACCAATGTTTTGACCAACAAAGAAACGTTCTGAAATTAAGATATTATTTTTAATTAAAACAAAACCTAGTTCTTCTATAAAAAATATTTATTTTGTAAATAAATATGTGACGCGTCGCGAAGAAAAGCACCTAAGAAGCATATCGAAAATTTTACAGGTGGAGGGAAAAAGGAAAGAGAAAATCAACTCTTAGCACGAATTTCTGTTTTGTAAATCATTATTACTAAAGTATTTCAGATAAGTATTTGATAAAAATTAATTTTGAGTTTAGATAGTTAAAAAGTAATCTTTAATTTATCTGAAACAATCATAGACATAATTTTATTTTTTTTTACTTTAAGATATAATTTTGGAAAATAATCGTATTTTTGAAGAATTCTAACTGAAAATTTAGAAAATAATTGAATTTAAAAAAAATTTTAAATTAATCTTTATCACTAGGATAAGAAAAGAAGTTAACGAGTTTTTTTAAGTTAAATTTAATTTTTCGATAGCTACTTTTTTACTATTTCTTTTCGGTTTTTAAAATCTACTGTTATTTTATTTAACCTCAAAAATTTATTTATTTAATCAAAACTATCTTACTTTCAAAGTTGTAAATATATAACTATCTTGGTGATTTCTGCACGAGATGTTCAAATAATTCTTAATTTTTTTAACTTTAGAAATCTATCCGAAAAATTATATTTTTTAAAAAAATGAAGAATTTCTATTAAACTAAAAAAAAAATTTTTAAACTAACAATGGCATTCTAAGTTATTACTTACGAACGTGTCTGCATGAATCCATACTAAATCTGCATTGATTAACCCACCTCTGTGCAATGATTGCCAATTCATCATCCCATACCTGAAGACATGAAATAAAAAATAATTAAAAAGTAAAGTTAAAATAGTTATTTAATTTTTATAATTTTCGTAATGAAACCAACCAAATCTGGAATGCTTATTGCTGGAGGTTGTGGTCCAGGATTTCCTCTTGTTTCACCTCCCGATGCAACTTTTTGTCTAAGGCTATTATGCAATTCTAAAATTTCCCTTATCTGATCTGAATTGAGTCCCACGTGTGATACAGGACAAACTCGATGAGGGTTTGGATCCTAATTTTATTTTATGTTAATTAATATTTATATTAATTAATATTTATAATATATTAATTAATGTAAAAATTAATATGATATAATATTAATTAATATTTATTTTCCCAAATAATAAAATTTTTCACAAGAATTCAAATATTTTCATAATAATAAAATTCTTCTCAGAAATTCAATTAAAATTTTAAAAATTGATAAATTCTTTCTTTAAATCCTAGTAAGATCTCAATTATTTTCCCAAATAATAAAATTTTTCTCGAAAATTCATTTATTAAAAAGGAATTAAATAAAATTCTTCGCAGAAATTCAATTATTCTCATAAATGTTAAAATTCTTCTCAGAAATTCAATTATTTTTCCAAACAATAAAATCTTTACCGAAAATTCAATTATTTTAAAAAAATGAAATAAAATTCATCGCAAAAATTCAATTATTTTCATAAATAATAAAAATCTTCTCAGAAATTCAATTAAAATTTTAAAAATTGATAATTTCTGTTTTTAATTCTTAGCAAAATTTCAATTATTTTCCCAAATAATAAAATTTTTCACAAGAATTCAAATATTTTCATTAATAATAAAATTCTTCTTAGAAATTCAATTAAAATTTTAAAAATTGATAAATTCTTTCTTTAATTTTTAGCAAGATCTCAATTATTTTCCCAAATAATAAAATTTTTTTCGAAAATTCATTTATTAAAAAGGAATTAAATAAAATTCTTAGCAAGAATTCAATTATTTTCATAAATAATAAAATTCTTCTCAGAAATTCAATTATTTTTTTAAAAATTGTGAAATTTTAATTGTTGTAAAACTGTAATAACATTTAAATTTTTACTTTAGAAAATTATTAATTTATTTTTTTTTAACTTTTCTGAAGAATTTAAATTAAATTTTAATAAATAATTTTATTTGTTTACTTTTAAAAATTACTTTTAAATACAATTGTATTTTTTAGGATAAAAGTTCAGAAAAAAATTGTATTTTTCAAATATTTAGAATTAAAGTTCTTAGCAGGATTAGAATAAAAATAAATATCAAATTTATAAATAATAAAATAATCAAATTTTTGTGAATATCGACTAAAACATTTTTTTTTATACGTTAGAATTAATTTTCGATAGCTACTTTTTTCAGTTTTAAAACTACTTTTTGATACTTTTTTAAAATGAATTATTGAGTGTGAAGCCTGCAATTTAAACATTAATTTTACATGTTCGAACTTAATTTGTTTCCTTAAATTCTGATAATGTACTTACGGGAAAAAGACACATTGTGTGAGTTCTGCAAATTCGACAATAATCTTGTCGACTAGGCTGACCAGAAATCAGCACAATCACTGAGAATATAACAAAAAGAGTCAAACTGCGTAATTGAACCATTTTTACTTACTGGATTGATGGTTTTTTTTTTTTAATCAATTGAAGTGACATCCTTTCTTCATTGCTTTTATACTCTACTTTATTTAAAATTTGTCAAAAAAATATCAGTTTGTGCTAGAATGTTTTTCCATTGCCTTGTTGTTGTTTTTTTAATATTATTTTATTGTCACTTTCCTCCAATTGTGACAACATTTTGTTTTATTTTTTCCAATTGTTCTCAATTTTCTTCAAATAAACAATATGTATATTTTGTTTACGTATACAAAATTTCGATTTCGAAACTCGTCATTAGAGGAAAATTATTTTTGTGCTAAAAATATTTAATTTACACACAAAAAGATCTCTGTTATTATTAATTACTCGTTGTCGAATCATTCCTTGACGGCTTTTAGTAATTGGCATTTAATTTCAACTTTTTTCTTTACATTGCTTAAAATTTGTTTAAAATTCATGAAATTTATAAATGCTAAATAATAATTCAATGATATTGTTTCTAAGATTTTCTACGTAAAGATAATTAATCGAACATCTAGAAAAATAAATTTTAAATCTTATTTTTAATTTTCTGCTTTAGAAACAGAAAAAAGATCTATCTTTGATGATTTTTTTTGGGAAAACGAAAACAGGAATTTTTTTTGGTAAAAAAGTAATTGTCGTCCCTGAAAACCCCAGAGTCATTATACATTAATTTTAGACATATCGTTCATCATATTGAATTGGTCAGTTTTAATTTTTGAAATCTCACTTCTGATTATGATCCTAAAGTTCTGAACGTTCAAATGAACGAAATTTATTTATTTCTTCCTCAAATTCAATTTTTATGACAATAATTTTGAGTCGCTATCAAAAAAATTAATTTTTAAAGTTTTTAAATGTAGAATCTAAGTTTTAAATTTTTATTCGAATCAATAATTTATGAAAATATTTTTAATACAAAATATTTCGTTCATTTGAACGTTCAAAACTTGTGATTCATTTCTGATTCATAAGTACCGTCCCAAAAAACTCTGAATTTTGATGTTTTTTTTTGTTTGTCTCGTAAACTATGAAATTACTTTTTTTTATTAAAATAATAAAATATTTTATTAAATTTTTTTTATTAAAATTTTATTAAAATATTGTATTAAAATTACGACGAATTTTAATAAAAAAACCTTCAATTTTTTCTATTTCTGACAATAATTTCTTTTTCAAGAACTATCATAAAATTATGACTTATAAATTATTTAATGAATAATTTTTACAATTATGATAAATACTAGGTTGATAAAAGAATTTTTAGTAAAAAATACTAAAAAAATTAAATTTTGGAAAAGTTACAAATGATTCCAGAAATTCAATTACCTATTTTCAAAATTTTTTATAAATTTTAAATTAAATTTAAAATTTAATTTAAAAAATTTTTTTTTTTTATTTAATTTAATTTTCTTCGAAATAATTCAATTATTTTCATAAGTAATACAACTTTCACAGGAATTCAATTATTTTTATAAATAATAAAATTCTTCACCAAAATTCTATTATTTTTATTAACTTGAATAAAATTCGTTGCAAGAATTAAATTATTTTCAAAAGTAATAAAATTCATTGCAGAAATTAAATTATGTTCAAAAACTAAAAAAAATTCTTGTCAAAATTTCAAGTATCTTTATAAATAATAAAATTCTTCTCCGAAATTCAATTAGTTTAGAATTTTTTTTTTAAATTTTTGGGAAAATTTTAATTATTTTCATAAATAATAAAACTCATCGCAGAATTTTAATTATTTTTGATACAATATTTTAATCAAATTCTTCGGAAAATGTAATTATACTTAAAAATTTTATTAAAATTTGTTAAAAGAATTTAATTTTTTAAAAATCTTTTAATAAATTCTTTATGAGAATTCAATTTTAAGAAACATTCAATTATTCAATAAATTATTTATTTTTTAATTTAAATAATTGAATTCTTCTATAATTTTCTAATAGAAATTGATTTAAAAATGAATTACAGAAAAATCGATTTATTATTATTTATGAAAATGATTCAATTATTGCAACGAATTTTATAACATTTTTTTTTAAATAATTGAATTTTTTGAGAAATTTTACTATTTGTAAAAATAATTGAATTCTTGCGAAGGATTTTATTAGGATTTTTGTAAATAATTAATTTTTTTTTGAAAAATTTTGAATTTGAATGTTATGAAGAATTTTAATTGATGTTTTTGAATAATTTTACAATTAAAGAAATTTTTTTTGAGTAACTAATAATTTTTATAGTGAATCAGAATATTCTTTAGGGTCAGGGAAAAAGTGAAAATTTGGTCTGGAAATCAGGGAAAATTAAAATTAAATAATTGTGGCAACCCTGATATGGTAATTAAATTGAAATTATGAAAATAATTTTGAATGAGTTACAGTATGAATATTTTTATAATATAAAATAATGATTTTATCACTCGGATATCTTTAATTATTATGGGTTATTGTTGAATTTGAAAAAGGTTTGAATTTGAAATTTTTGAAAATCGTAATTACTATGGAAAAATAATTAATTAAATTCTTGTGTCAACCATGATAATGGATTTTCAATGTTGTTGTTCTCTTTGAACCTTTTGAAACAGATATTTTTAGTTTTAGAAATTTAGCTATTTAATTATATTAGTCAATTCTTTCAGAATTTTTATGTTAGGTAACAACAATAATATTAAAATTTTCATTACAACTAAAGTAATTAATAAAAGTAAAGCTAAAAATTCATAAAAACAATTTTATTTTTGAGTCTGGAATTATTAAAAAAATTGTCTGTAAAACCTGGAAACAGTAGTTTGCCTTTTTTAAATAATTGTCGATGGTAATAATTTTCCTAAGTATTATAGGGAACGGCGAATGTCATACATCTTGCCATTAACAATATTACCTGCAGGACCATAGTTGCAAACTAGTGTGACTGTGATAATGTTGCCTTGTTGATTGGTAATATAACCACAGCCAATATTGACACTTGTTGACCACAATATTTGGGTATAATGTTTAACAAAATTGAAATTCCTGAAATAAAAGAAAAAATGTATAATTTATCGTTAAAATTAAAAATCCACTTTTTATCTTTTCTACAGATATGGAATTAATGGTATAGTTTTTAATATATTTGTAAATGTTTTCTTCTTTCTTTCTTTCTTTCTTTGTTTTATTTCTTTGGGTTTAAAAGAAAAGGAAATTCGTCACTTGTTTGCTAATTTATTATAAATAGTTTTAATTAAAATGTTGAGTTGCCTTACCTGACACTTTCGACTTGTCGGGAATCGAATAAGACGACTTCATTATACCAGATTTGTATTAATCTTGTTATCATATTGGGTGGAATTGTTCCTACAAGTCGTAAGCTACCGACGTTTTGTCCAACTTGGAAACGTGCTGAAATAAAAATATTACCTTAAATACTGTTACAATTGTTATAAAAAAAATTGAAAATAATTGAATTCTCGAAGAACTTTCAAAAAATTATTAAAAATAATTGATTTAGAGATGAAGTTGAGTTTAAAATTGTAGAAAATAATTGAATTTTGGAAGGGTTATAAAAAAATTTTCTTTGAATCAAATATAATTTATTTGAGTTAAATAACAGTATATTTGTCTCAGAGCCAACTAAGTTATTTATTTGTTTTAAATACAAATTTTAATCGGCATAAATAAAACTTTTATTTGAAACAAATAAAATTTGTATTTAAAACAAAAATGAAATTTATTTGAAATAAATTAAAAGCATTTTTTCGATCTGTCAAACAATATTTTTTAAAGAAAAAAAAAACAAAACAAAAGCATACCTACACAAAAACTAATTTCAAAGTGTGGACAGACAGAATGAAAGAATGAAATACAAAGATGATTATAGTTAATTCTCTCTTCGTGTATTTGTTAGAAATTATTAAATTTGAATTTGACAAATCTTTTTATCGAATTGACTTCTTATTTATAAATTTTTTTTTAAAATAAAAAACTACTAAAATCTGTGCAAATTTATCGGCCCTCTAAAGGTTAACAAAATTATTCCAGTTTTGAATAATTGAATGATGAATGAATCATTGGAAGGTCACAAAAATTTTATTTTGTATTTTAAAATACAAAATAAAATTTTTTTGACTGCATTGACTTTTGACTTTTTTTGTATTTTTAATCGACGTTTATGCATAGATATTTATTATACTTACGAACAGTTCTGCACATGTCGTGTCCAAATCTGCATTGATTAGCCCATCTTTGTGCAATGATTGCTAATTCTTCATCCCAAACCTAAAGACATAAAATAAAAAATAATTTTTAATTGAAGTTACAATAGTTAATTAAGTTTCTTAATTTCCGTAATAAAACCAACCATGTTTGGCATATGTCTTGCACGAGGTTGTGGTCCAGGATTTCCTCTTCTTTCACCACCCGAAGCAACTTGTCTCCTAAAGTTGTTGTGCACTGTTAAAACCTCATTTCTCTGACTTGCAGTGAGACCCACTTGTAATGTAGGACAAACAGGATTTGGATTCTGAAAGTCATTTTATGTTACATTAATTAATATAATAATTAAAATAATATTATATTAATTTAAACTCAGCAGGGTTGTCACAGGTCAGGGAAATCAGGGAATTCAGGGAAAAGTCAGGGAATTTTATTAAAGTACTGGAAAAAATTGAATTTTGGAGAAGTTACAAATGATTGCAGAAATTCAATTATTTTCAAAAGTAATAAAATTCTTCACAGAAATTCAATTATGTTCGAAAATTTTAAAAGATTCTCATAAAAATTCAATTATCTTTAAAAATAATAAAATTCTTCTCCAAATTTCAATTATTTTCAAAAATTTTAATAAAATTCTTTGCAAAATTTCAATTATTTTAAAAAAATTTTTCTCAATTCAATGAGACATTTTTTACAAAAATTCAATTATTTTCATGAATAATAAAATTCATCATAGAATTTAAATTATTTTTAATACAATTTTAATTGAATTTCTCGAAAAATTTAATTATTCTTGAAAATTTTATTAAAATTTTTCGAAACAATTCAAGTTTGTTGATAAAATTCTTTATGATAATTTAGTTTCGAAAAACATTCATTTATTCAATAAATTATTTATTTTTTTATTTAAATAATTGAATTCTTGTAGGAATTCAAATTTATTTCCAATAAAAATTGATTTGAAAATGAATATTAGTTAAAATTTTAGATACTAATTGAATATTAAAAGCATTATAGCATGAAGTTTTAAAAAAAACATAATTGAATTGTTTCGAAGAATTTTAACAAAATTTTTGAAAATAGTGACATTTTTCGAAGAATTTACTTAAAATTGTATTAAAAATAATTGAAATCCTGTGAAGAATTTTATTAATTTATAAAAGTAATTGAATTCTTGCAATGAATTTTTTCAAATTTTTTTTTTAATAATTCAAAATATAATGTAAAGAATCTTATTATTTACGAAAATAATTGAATTTCTGCAACGAATTTTATTTCATTTTTTTTAAATAATTGAATTATTTTGATAACTTTTATTAAAATAGTAGATTTTGAAAATATTTTAATTTCAACGAAGAATTTCATTACAATCGTGAAATGTAATTAAATTCTTGCAAAAAATTTATAAAAATAATTCCATTTTTCTAGGAATTTTCTTTAAATTGTATTATAAATAATTGAAATCCTCAGAAAAATTTTATAATTTATTAAAATAATGGAATTCTTACAACAAATTTTATTAATTTTATTTTAAAATAATTGAATTCATGTGAAAGTTGTATTACTTGTAAAAATAATTGAATTCCTGCAACGAATTTTATTACATTTTATTTAAATAATTATATTCTTTTAAAAACTTGTATTAAAAATGTAAATTTTGAAAATTTTTTAATTTCAGCGAAGAATTTAATTACTTTTGCGAAATGTAATTTAGTTCTTGCAAAAAATTTTTGAAGATAATTTCATTCTTCGAGAAATTTATTTAAAATTGTATTAAAAATAATTGAAACCATATGTGAAGAATTTTATTATTTATGAAAATAATTGAATTCTTGCAGCGAATTTTATTATAATCTTTGTAAATAATTTAATTCTTTTTTGAAAAATGTTATGGAAATTAAAATTTTTATAAGTTGTTGAATTTTAAAAATGTTTGAATTTGAATGTTTTGAAGAATTTTAATTCCTATGGAAAAATAATAATTAAATGCTTTTATTTAAAAATTGAGTTATTGATGTTTGCGAATAATTTTACAATTTAAGAAATTCGTAAGTAAATGTAATAGAATATTTTTGTTAGTATCTAATAATTTTTAGAGTGAATCAGAATATTCTTTAGGGTCAGGGGAAAAGTCAAAATTTTGTCTGGAAATCAGGGAAAAGTCAGAGAAAAACAAAATTAATTTTTTGTGGCAACCCAGACTCAGTGAAAAAAATCATTTGATTCAAATAACCGATCACTTGTCTATTATCAAATAAATATTTACTTGACTCAAATAATTTTTTAATTTACATCAATTAAATGGTATTTGCTTAAAATACTGAATTTATTGTTTCAAAGACAATTTATTTATTGATGTAAATTAAAAATTATTTGCGTCCAGTAAATATTTATTTGATAATAACTGAATCAGTTATTTGAATAAAATAAAATTTTTTTCAATATATAGTAAATAATAGTTAATTAATATAGGGAATAATTGATAAAATACATATTCATATTTCCTTAAATTTTGATGTACTTACGCGAAAAACACACATTGTGTGACCAAAACAAAGTCGACAATATTGTAACGGAAGTGGTCCAGGCTGACCAGAAATCAGCACAATCACCGAGAAAATAACAAAAAGAGTTAAACTGCGTAATTGAACCATTTTTACTTACTGGATTGATGATTTTTTTTTTTAAATCAATTGACTTTCTTTCCAGCTTTTATACTCTACTTTATTTAAAATTAGGCAAAAAAATATCAAACTGTATCAGGATGTTTTGCTTCATTGCATTAGTTGTTATTTTTTGATATTATTTCATTGTCAATTTCCTCCAATTGTGATAACATTTTGCTTTATTTTTTTCCAATCGTACAAAGTTTTTCCTTAAATAAACAATATATTTTGGTTATGTGCAATCTTTCAATTTATTTCGAAGCTTATAACACTGGAGGAAAATTATTTGTATGCTAAAAATATTTAATTTCTATCTGAATTTGATGAAATATTTATTCCTCATTTTGAAAGTGATGTTGTGGTTATTACAGATTTCATGAGGATCCTAAAGTTCTGAACGTTCAAATGAACGAAAATTATTTATTTCTTCAACAAATTAAATTTTTATTGCAATTATTTTGCGTCTCTATCCAAAAAATTAATTACTGAGTTTCTAAACGTAAAATTTCAGTTTGTAAATTTTTTGTGATTAGTAATGCATAAAATATCTTCAATTAAAAAATATTTCGTTCATTTGAACGTTCAAAACTTTGGGATCATATTTCATGTCTATGTTTCTGCAGTTTTCGTCGATATTTTTTTGGAATTTGTGATAATTTTTGATGATAAAAAATGAATATTGTAAATTAAGAAATCATTCAGTATTTATACTTGACCGACAGTGTTGAGATGGGTGAGATTTTGTAATTTGACTTTGGCACTGACTTTAACCACTGATTTTGACGTTAACTTTGCCTTTTAATTTGACATTAACTTTAACTTTAAATTTTGACTTTAACTTTATTAAAGATTTATTTAACTTTATCAAAGTCGAAGTCAAAAAGTCAAAGTTAAAGACAATATCAAAGTTCAAACGAACTTTATTTATTTATACCAATTTACAATTTCATCTTGTTTCGAGTATAAATTATTATTTTTTCTAAGTTTTTTCTAATTGCAAAAAAGAAAAATATATAAAGAGACCAACAGACAAAAACACAAAATGAAAAATCTTCATTTTTCGGTGTGATTTTATTGTTAAAAGCTTTGCAAAAAAAAAAAAAAAAAAAATTTCCCCAACGGCAACAACAAAGGGAAAAATTGTAACAGAGAATTTTTGTGTATTGTTCCGTGGGTTTATTTAAAAACGCGCGTGCCAACCCCCATAATTCCTGGGGGTGTGTCGGGGGCGTGGGGCTGCAGCTGCTCTCGTGGTCTGCACGCGTCACATATATCGTCACCCAAAAATTGCTTGCACAATAAAATTTCGCGTCAATATATTTTAACATGTGACATAAACTTTTTTTCCAAAAATTTTACTGAAATAACAGAAAAAAGAGAAATTATTACCTATTTAAAAATTTAAGAAAAAAAAATTATTGTTTATTAAAAGTATCTTTTAGTGAATATTCAAGTGAAAATATCATTCGTTGAAAGATCAAGTAATTAACAATATGTTATTTAGTTTTAATTAATTAGTTACTTAGTTTTAGTTTTGTTTTTAATTATTTATTAGTAATAATTAGTTTAAATACTCTCAAAATTTGAAGTAGTAAAATTTGTTTACTAATTTTAATAAGTGACTGACTTGCTTTCGAATTCGTACATTTTACTAACTAGTAATTAATCAGTCACTACTCTCTAAATTTGAATTAGTAAAAATGTTTACTAATTTAAATTAGTGACTGACTTTTTGCTTTTGAATTAGTAAACTTTACTTTTAAATTAGTAGAAATTACTATTTATTAGTAAAATTTACTAATTTAAAAGCAAAAAGTCAGTCACTAATTCAAATTAGTCAAAATTTTTACTAATTCAAATTTAGAGAGTAATTAGTAGATTTTAATTAATTTTAATTTATTTTAAAATTAATTAAATTAATTAATTAGTAAATTTATTTAAAAGCAAAAGGTCAGTCATTAATTCAAATTAGTAAACAATTTTAATAATTCAAATTTTGAGAGCATTTCAACTAATTATAATTAAGTAAATAATTAAAAAAAACTTTTTACTTTTGAATTAGTGAATGTGACTAATAAATTAGTAGAAATTACTATTTATTAGTAAAATTTACTAATTCAAAAGCAAAAAGTCAATTACTAATTTAAATTTGTAAACATTTTTCCTAATTTAAATTTTGATAGAAGACTAAGTTGTTAGTAATTAATTAGTTATACTTTGGATTAATTAATTATAGTTAGATTAGATTAGATTTATTTGAATATCAACGGAATTCGACCTATTTAAGTAATTAGTTAATTAGTTTTCAATTGTTTTTCAATTAATTAGGTAATTATTTACTTAGTTTCAGTTAATTATTTTTCATAATTATGATCAATTAGTCAATTAATTAGTTTATTAAAAAAGAGTAACTTATAATATTTTTATATATTATAAAGAGTTAACGTTAACAAGTTAAGTAAGTTTAACAAGAGAAAATATTTAGGAAAAAAATTTTTTTTTTGTAAGTTGTAATGCTTTATTTTTGCAAAATAATAATAACAATAACAACATACAATATACAATATGTAATATATAATAAATTATAAGGAAGTGTAAGGTTAATTGCTATTAATAATAACAATAATATTCTAATTAATTTGCTACAGAAGAAAAATTATAAATAAAAATAGAACACAATATTGTTACTAACGACGAATGTCGTATACTTTGCCATTTGGAATATTGCCCGCAGGACCATAATTGCAAACCAAAAAAAGTCTCTTAAATATAGGCCCCAGTCGATAACTTACATAACCACAGCCAATATTTGTTGTAGTTGACCACATCATTTGAGTATATCTTCCAACTTTTGTGAAATCTCTATATATGTAAAAATATTTTTAATTAATTTAATTATATATTAACTTTATAACTATAACTCTATAACAATATTTTGTAAATACTTCCACAATTATTTAATAAATTATTTTTTCGATCATTTTGGTTCTTTATTTATTTTTGAATTAAAAGAAAATTTTTTTCTCAATGTTGAGCTGAAATAAAAATCTTTGAAAATAATTGCATTTTGGAGAAGAATTTTGTTATTTATAAAGATAATTGAATTTTTGACGTGAATTTTTTTTAAATGTTTCAGCATAATTGAATTTCTGCATAGAATTTTATTACTTTTAAAAATAATTGAATTCCTCCAATTATTTGTAACTACTACAAAATTCTATTTTTTTTAGTGTTTTTAACAATAAATGTCAAATATATAAAGTCAAAGTGAAAGTTAAAATCATAGTTAATGTCAAAGAATACTCAAAATCAAAGTCAAAGCCAAAATAAAAATAAAAGTTTATAATTTAAAGTCCAAGTCAGTGTCAAAGTCTCAATCAAATCGAAAATCAAAGTCAAATTACAAAATCGCACACCAGGTCAATCTTTTTTTTCGTATAGAAAATAATATTTCTCATTAAAATACAAATTGAAAGTAAAAGAATTATTAAATGGCTCGAGAGAAAAAGCAAAGTTTTTCGAGTTTAAAATCTACTCCAAATGTGAGTAATCTTATTTAGAACTATAAATGATTTAGTCTAAAGAAAAAAATTATTCTAAATATTTTAATTTGTGACTCGTATTTTTTTAATAGAATGTTAAAGTTAATTTACAGGGTTGCCACAGGTCAGGGAATTCAAGGAAAAGTCAGGGATTTTTATTTAAGTAACTGGAAAAAATTGAATTTTGGAGAAGTTACAAATGATTTCAGAAATTCAATTATTTTCAAAAGTAATAAAATTCTTCGCAGAAATTCAATTATGTTCAACATAATAATAAATAAAATAATAAATAATAAATAAATAAAATAATAATAATAATAAAATTCTTCTCCAAATTTCAATTATTTTCCAAAAATTTAATAAAATTCTTTGCAAAATTTCAATTATTTTCAAAAAAATTTTCTCAATTCAATGATTTTCAATATCTACAGTTTTAATAAAATTTTTCAAAAGAATTCAATTATTTAAAAAAAAATTTTTGATAAAATTCTAAGCAAACTTCGCGATAATTCAATTATTTTCATAAATAATAAAATTTTTTACAAAAATTCAATTACAATATTTTTTGGTTATTACCATGGTAACATCGACAAATGGAACACCCTCGGCAATTGGTACACTTACCCTAGAATTTTAATTATTTTTAATACAATTTTAATTAAATTTCTCGAAAAATTTAATTATTCTTGAAAATTTGATTAAAATTTCTTGAAAAAATTCAAGTTTGTTGATAAAATTCTTTATGATAATTTAGTTTCGAAAAACATTCATTCATTCAATAAATTATTTATTTTTGTATTTAAATAATTGAATTCTTGTAGGAATTCAAATTTATTTCCAATAAAAATTGATTTGAAAATGAATATTAGTTAAAATTTTAGATACTAATTGAATATTAAAAGCATTATAGCATGAATTTTTAAAAATACATAATTGAATTGTTTCGAAGAATTTTAACAAAATTTTTGAAAATAGTGACATTTTTCGAAGAATTTACTTAAAATTGTATTAAAAATAATTGAAATCCTGTGAAGAATTTTATTAATTTATAAAAGTAATTGAATTCTTGCAATGAATTTTTTCAAATTTTTTTTTAAATAATTGAAATAATGTAAAGAATCTTATTATTTATGAAAATAATTGAATTCCTGCATCGAATTTTATTACATTTTTTTCAAATAATTGAATTATTTTGAGAACTTTTATTAAAAAAGTAGATTGTGAAAATATTTTAATTTCAACAAAGAATTTCATTATATTCGTGAAATGTAATTAAATTCTTTTAAAAAATTTAAGAAAATAATTCCATTTTTCTAGGAATTTACTTTAAATTGTGTTATAAATAATTGAAATCCTCAAAAAAATTTTATAATTTATGAAAATAATGGAATTCTTACAACTAATTTTATCAATTTTTTTTAAATAATTGAATTCATGTGAAAAATTGTATATTATTTGTAAAAATAATTGAATTTATGCAACGAATGTTATTATTTGATTTGAATAATTTTATTCTTTTGGAAACTTGTAGTAAAAATGTAAATTTTGAAAATTTTTGAATTTCAGCGAAGAATTTCATTATTTGTAAAATGTACCAAATTTAATTCTTGCAAAAAAATTTTTGAAGATAATTTTATTTTTCGAGAAATTTATTCAAAATTATATTAAAAATAATTGAAACCATGTGAAGAATTTTATTATTTATGAAAATAATTGAATTCTTGCTTAGAATTTTATTATAATTTTTGTAAATAATTTAATTTTTTTTGAAAAATTTTATGGAAATTTAAATTTTTATAAAACATAAAGATATTCTTATAAGTTGTTGAATTTTAAAAATGTTTGAATTTGAATGTTTTGAAGAATTCTAATTCCTATGGAAAAATAATAATTAAATACTTATTTAAAAATTTAGTTATTGATGTTTTTGACTAATTTTACAATTTAAGAAATTCGTAAGTAAATGTAATAGAATGTTTTTTTGAGTATGTAATATAATTTTTGGAGTGAATCAGAATATTCTTTATGGTCAGGGAAAATGTGAAAATTTTGTCTGGAAATCAGGGAAAAGTCAGGGAAAAATAAAATTAAATATTTGTGGCAACCCTGATTTAGACAGATGCAAATTTAATGAGGAAATTGACTCACGTGACGTTTTCGACTTGTCTGCTATCGAAATACATTACTTCACTATACATTTCATTTACTAAAGTAGTCATTATATTGGTTGGAATTTGGTCTGCTCCAGTTCCTGCGGTTGCGACGTTTTGACCAACTTTAAAGCGTACTGAAAATAAAATAATAAAATATTGTTATAAATAAAATTTAAACTACCGTTAACTACCGTTAACGTCCTAGTTCATTTAAAAGACAATTAACGTTTAGAAACGTGAATTATCGTTTAAATTTGATAGTAGTAAATAGTAATAATTAACTATAATAATTTTCGTAATTCATTCTTTCATTTGTAATTTTTCCAAAATTGTATTTTTTTAGTGTTTTCAACAAAAATTTGAATTACATACAAATTTTTAAATTCTATTTTTTTAATTGCTAATTAATAAAATAATTAAATTTAATAGTTTAAAATAATTTAAAAAAAAATTTTTAATTACTAATTATTAAAATAATTAAATTTAATAGTTTAAAATTAAAAAAAATTTTTTTTTAATTGCTACTTAATAAAATAATTAAATTTAAAAGTTTTAAATAACTTTTAAATGGTTTATGCGTTAGTAGAAACCAATAATGTTTCATCTTTTGAAGCCAATAATTTAATTCAATATTCGTGACAACTATGAATAGTATTTATAAAAATTAGTTTGTGGTTAAAAAATTCTTTTTTCTAACTTGAATGCAACTTGTAAGTGTACGTAAGCTGAAATAATTGAAATATTTACCAACGTTTCTGCATTGGTCTTTTTGATCAAAAAAACAATGGTTAGCCCACCTCTGTGCAATGTTTGCTAATTCATAGTCCCAAACCTAGAAACATATTGAAAAGGTTTTAAAATAGTATTTTAAATTTAAAATAGTACCTACTATAATTTTCTAATAATGAAACCAACCAAATCTGGAATGCTTATTGCTGGAGGTTGTGGTCCAGGATTTCCTTGTGATTCACCTCCAGCTGCAACATTTCGTCTGAGGTTATTATGCACTTCTAAAATTTCCTGGACTTGCTCTAGAGTGAGATGAGGTTGAATTGTAGGACCTTCACAAATGGGAAAACTTAACTAAAAGTACATTTGTTTTCTATAATATACTGTATTGAATTTTTTTTAAATTACTTGAAATTTTTATTTTATAATATATATTCAGATAAAAAATTTTCGATTAGTCGAATTTTCTTAAAATTGAATTGTAAACAAATGAATTTGAATATTCTTAAAGAACTTTTTCAAAAATTATTAAAAATAATTGATTCAAAGAAGAATTCTCGTAAAAAATTCAAATATCTTTATGAATAAAAAAATTCTTCTCCAAAATTGTGTTAAAATTAACTATATTAATTTGAATGTTCTTTCATTCTTTCATTTATTCACTTTTTCTGTCCCTCACACTCTGAAGTTGTCTTCTATTTATATTGTTGTTTTTTGTTAACTTTAGATAGAAAATAGAAATCATCAGAATTTTTTTTACTTCTTTTCATTAAAAGACTAAAATTTTGTTAAATATTATGTTTTGTCAAATTAAAATAATTTTTGTTCTTTATTTCTAAAAAAAAATTAGAAAATTATTAAACAACTGTGATTAAGAAATAGAAAATTTATTTATTTTTCATAACTTTCTTTTTGAATCACAATTTTTTTAACAAAATTATTATTTTGTTTTAGAAAAAGAAGAAAAATATTTGCACAATTTATATTTTAATCTTATCTTTGGAACAGGATTTTCCACAGGAATTAAGACATTCAAAAATTCAAAATTCAAACCTTTTTTAAATTAAACAACTTAATAAAAGTATTGTTTATAAAACATGAAAATATATCAATTGCTCAGAGTTGAAGACTCGGAGTGATCGATTTCTTCATGTTTTCTAATAAATTAAAGATGACTGAGAGATAAATCATTATTTTACATTATAAGAATATTGTTACTGTAAGTTCATCAAAATTATTTTCATCATTTTAATTAAATTATTATTTTCTAGAATTTTAAATTATTTTTTATGAAAATAATAATTAAATTCCTTAAAAAATTCTATTATTTATGTAAATAATTGAATTCCTTGTGAAATTTCAATTATTTTATGAATATAATCAAATGTTTGCGCAGAATTTCAATAAAATTTTTTATAATTGAATTCTTTTGAAAAATTTTAGTAGATATTATAAAAATCATTGAATTGAGGAAAATTTTTGAAAATAATTGAAATTTTTGCCGAGAATTTTTTCAAAATTTTTAAAAATAATTAAATTGATTCAAAGAATTTTATCAAATTTTCTTAAAATAATTGAATTTTTGCAACGAATTTTATTAAAATTTTCAAAAATAATTATGAATTCTTATGAAGAACTTTTATTAATTTTTTTGTTAAATAATTGAATTATTGCGAAAAAATTTATAAAACATTTGCAAATGATTGAATTCTTGCAAAGAATTTTATCAAAAAATTTGATACTAATTGAATTTCTTCGAAGAATTTTATTGTTTATGAAAATAATTACATTTAGGAAGAATTTTATTAAAATTTTACATAATCTAAATTAAATTCGTTTGAAGAATTTCTTTGAGTTTCTTTAAAATAATGGACTTTCTTTAATAATTTTAATTACAAGTTTTCAAAGTAATTGAATTCTATATGAATAATTTCTTTCAAGTTTTTATAATAATCCTCTTTCTTAATAATTGAAATTAAGCATTTAATTCTTGAATTTTATTAAAAATTTTTGAAAAATAATTGAATTTTTTTGAAAAATTTCTTTAATTTATTGAATACAATCGAATTTTTTAATAATTGTATTGAAAATAATTGAATTCCTGAGAAGAATTTTATTATTTATGAAAAATACTTTAATTCTTGCGAAGAAATTTATAAAAAATTTGTAAATAATAGAATTCCTCTGAAATTTTTATTATTTAATTCATTCATTCAAAATTGTCATTTTCTAAAATTTCAAATTAAAATTTTTTTTAAATAATTGAATTCATTTTGGGAAATATTTTATTAAATTCGTAGATATTGAAAATCATTAAAATTAGAAAAATTTCTGAAAATAATTGAACTTTGGAGAAGAATTTTGTTATTTATAAAGATAATTGGGATTTTTCAAGATTTGAACATAGTTGAATTTAATAAGAAGAATTTTTATTTTTTTTAAAGAATTTTTGCAACTATTTTTAAATTCTACAAAATTGAATTTTTTTAGTATTTTCAACAAAAATTTAAATTAGAAAATTTTCCAATTTTATTATTTTTAAAATTGCTAATTTTATTTAAAAAAGGTAGTAAGAAGTTAGCCGCGCGATTTGTTGCTAGTTATAATTATTTAATAATATTCTTACAAGTTGTTGAATTTCAAAAAAGATTGAGTTTGAAATTTTTGAAAATCTTAATTCCCGGAGAAAAATAATAACGATTAAATATTTATTTAAAAAAGAAGTTATTGATGTTTTTGAATAATTTTCCAATTGAAGAAATTCGTAAATAAATGTAATAGAACATTTTTTTGAGTATCTAATCTTTTAGAGTGAATCAGAATATTTTTTAGAGTAAGGAAAAAAGTCAAAATTTTGTCTGGAAATCAGGAAAAAATGAAATAAAATTTTTTTGTCAACCCTGTTTTTTTATTTTCTAAACGGAAATAGTTGTAGAGTTAAAATTGTGATTATATTTCGACTAAATAAATGTCAGTGTTGTGACCACACTCGTCAAAATTTTTACACCAGTGAAAATTTCAACTTTTTATTTCTTCTTTTATGTTTTTCCCCGGTGAAATATTTTTAACATATTTAGATTCCCTGAAGTTGTATTTTAAAGAGTTTGCTAAATATTATTTGTAAGATTTTGTACATTTGTTGTGAAAGCCAAAAGCTCACAATGGGACTATAAGTGTTAAATACAGTTAAATATATATTTACATTAAAGTTTGTTATTCAATTTTTTTTATTTTATATATATTTACGTGATATCTGCACATTGTATGATCGCGGCAAATTAGACAATACGTTTGCGTTGACCATACTGGCTGTCCATCAGAAATCAGGAAAATCTTGATGAAAATGATAAAAAAAGTTAAGATATTACGTAATTGGATCATTTTTATTTTACCCACTGGAATAACGTTTGCGAAATCAATTTGACAGACATTTTTTTCTTGACAGCCTTATATACTCATTTTATTATTGTTATTATTATTACTTTTTTTCCTTGCAATGTGTAAAATTATAGAATGTCAGTTTGTGTTGGATTTGTTTGTATTGTGTATTGTGTGTTTGTATTGTTTTTCGATAACATTATTAACTTTTCGTTTCCTTCAATTGTGATAATATTTTCTCAAATTTATACTGAAATAACAAAAAGGAAAAAAAAATTATTAACATTTAATAAAAGTTAAATGAAAAGTACAATTCAGTTAAGAAGCTATACCATTCTAGTTGAAAAGCAGTTTATTATTGGTTAATATTTCAGAAAACTTTTCATTTATTTTGGAGTTAGTTTTTATTAAATTAACATAACACTCAAAGGGATTGAAAATATAAGAAAACTTTCTGGAGTAAATAGCAATCGCAGGAGTAAAAATTTTCTTTTTGAAGAGCAATTAAGTATTAATATTTATTATCACACTATTATTAATAACATTAGTAAATAATATATTACAATCGATATTATAATTATTATTTTTTACAATTAATTTAATACTAAATAAAAAAAAAAATTATTTGATTCTATTATCTATTAAATATTTATTTGAAATTTTGAACTAAGTAAATATTTACCGGAATTAAGTATCTTTATTTTAAATAATAAAAATTTTCTCCGAAATTCTTTCAAAAATTTTAATAAAACTCTTGGCAAAATTTCATTTATTTTCAAAAATTTTCCTTAATTCAATTTTTCAATAAAGTATTTACTTTTGTATTCAAATAAAATTGAACTCTCGTAGAATTTCCTAAAAAATTGATTTAAAAATAAATTTTAGTTTTAAGTTTAGATAATAATTGAATATAAAAAGCACTAAAGCGTGAATTTGTAGAAATAATTGAATTTTGAAAAGTTTTCAAATTAAAATATTTGAAAATTTCACTAACAATTCTGTAGAATTAATTTTTTAAAAAAAGTTTAATTTAATTATTTTTAAATTATTTTTGAAGTTTTCATTTGTTAATATATGTTTAATTGAAGAACTTTGGAATAATGAAAATTTCACGTTAAATTGAATTGTAAACAAATAGATTTGAAAATTCTCAATGAACTTTTTCAAAAATTATTAAAAATAATTGATTTAACGAAGAATTTTAGTTAAAAATTGTAGAAAATAATAATTGAATTGATGAAAATAATTTTTAAGAAGTTACAGTAACAATATTGTTATAATATAAAATAAAGATTTTATCATTCCCCGTCATCCTTAATTATATTAATTAGTTGGGGAATTTCAAAAAGGTATTTAAGGTTTAATTTTTAAGGTATTTAAAAAGGTATATTTGAAATTCTTGGAAATCTTAATTCCTATGGAAAAATAATAATAATAATTAAATATTGATTTAAAGAAGAAGTTATTAACGTTTTTGAATAATTTTACAATTAAAGAAATTCGTAAATAAATGTAACAGAACATTGTTTTGAGTAAATTTTTTTTCGTTATTTTCTAAAAATTTAAAAAGTATTTCATTTTCAATTGAAATTTGTAATTGACAAATAGAATTTATATTTTATAAACATTTTTTTCCTTTATTTTTAAAAAACTTTGAATTTTATTAAAACAATTGTAATTAAGAAATAGAAATTTTGTAAATTATTTCCTTATGAAAATAGAAAATTTTCTACAAAAATAGAAACGGGAATATGTTTTTTTTTCCCCAAAGAAAAGAATAAGTTTGTGAACAATATTGTTATTGAGAAATAAAAATTATGCATAAAATGAATATATTTCTTATTTCTTAATCATAATTTTTTAATAATTAACAATTTTATTTAATATTTTTTTATAAATAAAAAGGAGAAATATTTTTATAATTTACATCAGTCAAACGAAATCTGTTATAGAAAAAAGCATATAATAAACAAAATTTATTTGTTAATCATAATTTAAAAAAAAAAAAAATTTTATTGATGTTTTATCCCATTTAATAAATTTGATATTGTTTAATTTTTGGCATTTTCTTTAAGACAGGAAAATGGATATAACATTTAATTAACATTTTGAATTAAAATTGTCAGAGTAGATGATATGTAAATATTTAAAATAAAAATTGTAATTTTCTTTAAAAAAAAACTTAAAGTTAGCAAATTAAGAATGACCCAAAAGTTCTGAACGTTCAAATGAATGAAATTAATTTATTTCTTCTTCAAAATAAATTTTTAATTGCAATAATTATAGTTAATTGTTTTATTGCATACTAATACTCGTGCAGCCTTGAATAATTAATTATTTAGTTCGAATTAAAAATTTATTAAGACTTATTTAGTTAAAATCAATGTAATTTAATTCAAGTTATTTGAATCAAGTGTATATTTTTTAGTTCCAAATGAAAATTAATTGAACCAAGTAAATATTTCGCAAATAATTTGAATGAATTGAATTGAAAAAATGTTCTTTTTCCTTGTAATTTACTGAAAAGTAACATATTTTCTTGTGAGTTTTACAATTTGAAACAAGCATAATGACAGAAATAAGATACGATGAGTAAAGATGTATTCATAGTTGATTTTTTTTAGGGGCGCTTCCTTTGCACCGGAAGTGGATCGAAATTCGAACTCTCAGCTTCATTCTCCTCTTTTTCTTCTTCATCTTCTTCTCGTTGAATGTCGCTCCTTCCTGTCATTTGACACTTCTTTGTTAAAAGGAACTCCACCCATCGCGGGTGCCTTTAATGGCGATTGTAAAATAGTAATAGGGTTGCTTTAAGGCGTACGAAATCTCTTCGATTATATTCATCCTTGTGAGGCGCATTATTCGTAAGAGTCTCGATGGGTGTAACGACCCTTTATTATAAGCCCAGCAGTTTGAACCTTTGAATTTTGTGCAGGACACTATATATAGGACAGTGAACTCGTGGTCCATGTGTCATTCAGTCATTGTGTCAATGACTGTCACGTGCGCCGCAAATGCCTCATGTCAATGGCAGAAGATCGCTGTATGCGAGTACACAACTAAAAGGCGGAGATGATCTTTTGTCTCAACGCGTGCGCTCTAATGAAATATATTTCTTCTCTTGATACAAAACAGACTGCAGTTTGTAATTTTTATGGTTAAATTGTCAGGGTTCAAACTAGGTCCGCAAATTCTGTAAAGGTCATTCGTAAATGCTTTAAATTGCTTCAAGTCCGTAAAAGTCAGTTTTTTAAAAAAAACGTTTCTAAACTCTTTAATTTGTTTGAAAAAAAATCCCATACGGGATCATGGCGTTACTTTTTCATACAATCTTAGTTTTGACGATCATATAACATCTCTTGTTGCTACTGCATCCAAAATGCTTGGCTATCTGATCAGGTCATCAAGAAATTTTAATAATGTAAAAACATTTACTCTACTTTTTAACGCACTGGCAAGGTCTCCAACTGAATATGCTGCAATTATTTGGAACCCATCTACTAAAAAGCTCTCAGAGCCTATTGACAAAATAGAAAAGCGGTTTCTTAATACTTTGGCAGAGCGACGCCATAATAATTAATGCAATGATTTTTTTTGTTTAAAATTAAAATTAATTAAAACTACCACTTTCATTGTCAAAAATTATTGGAAGTAATTAATTTTAGGATACCTCGTTTGCCATCGTGAATAAATTTACTATTCTTAGGCTTCGCACTCATCTACAAAAACCTACTATTTACAGGGTTGCCACAGGTCAGGGAATTCAGGGAAAAGTCAGGGATTTTTATTTAAGTAACTGGAAAAAATTGAATTTTGGAGAAGTTACAAATGATTGCAGAAATTCAATTATTTTCAAAAGTAATAAAATTCTTCGCAGAAATTCAATTATGTTCAAAAATTTTAAAAGATTCTCATAAAAATTCAATTATCTTTAAAAATAATAAAATTCTTCATCAAATTTCAATTATTTTCAAAAATTTTAATAAAATTCTTTGCAAAATTCCAATTATTTTCAAAAAAATTTTCTCAATTCAATGATTTTCAATATCTACAGTTTTAATAAAAATTTTCAAAAGAATTCAATTATTTAAAAAAAAAATTTTGATAAAGTTCTAAGCAAACTTTGCAATAATTCAATTTTTTTTATAAATAATAACATTTTTTTTACAAAAATTCAATTATTTTCATGAATAATAAAATTCATCATAGAATTTCAATTATTTTTAATACAATTTTAATTGAATTTCTCGAAAAATTTAATTATTCTTGAAAATTTTATTAAAATTTCTCGAAAAAATTCAAGTTTGCTCTCTAAATCTGAATTAGTAGAAAGTTACTAATGAAATGGTGAAAAGTCGTCCACCAAATGATTTAGTAATATATTACTAACAAATAGTAAATTTTACTAATTGATTAGCAGAATTCTACTAACAATTAGTAGAACTGTTTTATTAATAGTCGATAAAACAGTTTTACTAATTCATTTAGTGAAATGAGTGACTTTTAATTAGTGAATTTCTACTAAAATATTAGTAAAATTTTACTAAGAATTAGTAATATTCTACTAATTAAAAAGGGGAAAAGTCGTCCATAAAAACTACTAAAAATTAGTCAAATTTTACTATTTCTTAGTAGAATTCTACTAATTAAGATTTAGAGAGTGTTGATAAAATTCTTTATGATAATTTAGTTTCGAAAAACATTCATTTATTCAATAAATAATTTATTTTTGTATTTAAATAATTGAATTCTTCTGGAATTTTCCAATAAAAATTGATTTGAAAATGAATATTAGTTAAAATTTTAGATAATAATTGAATATTAAAAGCATTATAGCATGAATTTTCAAAAATACATAATTGAATTCTTTTGAAGAATTTTAACAAAATTTTTGAAAATAGTGACATTTTTCGAAGAATTTACTTAAAATTGTATTAAAAATAATTGAAATCCTATGAATAATTTTATTAATTTATGAAAGTAATTGAATTCTTGCAATGAATTTTTTCAAATTTTTTTTTAAATAATTGAAATAATGTAAAGAATCTTATTATTTATGAAAATAATTGAATTCCTGCATCGAATTTTATTACATTTTTTTAAATAATTGAATTCTTTTGAGAACTTTTATTAAAAAAGTCGATTGTGAAAATATTTGAATTTCAACGAAGAATTTCATTATATTCGTAAAATGTATAGTTAAATTCTTACAAAAAAATTAAGAGAATAATTCCATTTTTCTAGGAATTTACTTTAAATTGTATTATAAATAATTGAAATCCTCAGAAAAATTTTATAATTTATGAAAATAATGGAATTTTTACAACAAATTTAAACATTTTTTTTTAAATAATTGAATTCATGTGAAAAATTGTATTATTTGTAAAAATAATTGAATTTATGCAACGAATTTTATTACATTTTATTTAAATAATTATATTCTTTTGAAAACTTGAATTAAAAATGTAAATTTTGAAAATTTTTGAATTTCAGCGAAGAATTCCATTATTTGTGAAATGTACCTAATTTAATTCTTGCACAAAATTTTTGAAGATAATTTTATTTTTCGAGAAATTTTTTTAAATTTGTCTTGAAAATAATTGTAACCCTGTGAAGAATTTTATTATTTATGAATATAATTGAATTCTTGCAACGAATTTTATTATAATTTTTGTAAATAATTTAATTTTTTTTTTGAAAAATTTTATGGAAATTAAAATTTTTACAAAACATGAAGATATCAATCACTCCGAGTCTTCAGAGTGATTGATATCTTCATGTTTTATAATAATATTCTCATAAGTTGTTTAATTTTAAAAATGTTTGAATTTGAATGTTTTGAAGAATTTTAATTCCTGTGGAAAAATAATAATTAAATACTTATTTAAAAATTTAGTTATTCATGTTTGTGAATAATTTTACAATTTAAGAAATTCGTAAGTAATTGTAATAGAATGTTTTTTTGAGTATATAATAATTTTTAGAGTGAATCAGAATATTCTTTAGGGTCAGGGGAAAAGTCAAAATTTTGTCTGGAAATCAGGGAAAAGTCAGGGAAAAATAAAATTAAATATTTGTGGCAACCCTGTAAAACTAAAATCAGTTTTTATTAATTATTTTAGATATACAACGAAGAGTTAAACATCATAAAAGTTAGAAAAAATATCGAGGCGCTAGTCAGACTTCTGTTCATCAAATTATATTCTTTCGAAGAATTCTAATCGAAAATCGCGCAGTTGTGTTTATAAAAAAAAATTATCAAATAAATCTTGAGTCCTATTATGATGAAACCAAAAAAAAAAAAATACCGAATTGTATAATTTTCTGTCATTTTCTCTCTATGTTCGCTCTGCAATCGAAATTGAACGATAATGAATTTCTGTATTATTATAAGCTATAGACATAAAGATATATATGCACCTATATATCTATATATTTCTATATACATAAACTAACCGATCGGACAGTGATTGTTTTTTTTCTCGACATTGCCATCTGTCGAATTGGACGCAAACGCCTGCAATCAAACGTGTTTTGAAAACATCGACGTGCCCACTTTGCCGATATATACCCATCGGATAGCACTGAATCGGTGAGATGATTGTAGTCATTACTGTTCACGAGTGCGTATTAGAATTTGAGCTGCCATTATTCCCATTTCGTGCCTATTGCTCTTCTAAAGGATATATATTCGTTTATATATATAGTGTATGTGTGTCTGTGGTTTGCTATTATAGTTAGAAAAAAGATATTTTATCTCAGAGCCGGTGCTGCCGAAATTCAAGAACTGCTAAATCACCCGCACTTCTTGTGGTCAGAATAACACACGCGCGTGTTTCCTTAATAATGGCGTTGCGCAATACTTCTTATTAGGAACGATATTAGTAATCATAATTTAATAATGAGAAGCAAGACAGTATAACTATATGGGACATGGTTGTTAACAATACCTTGAATTATCTCGAAAAGCAGCATCCGGTTGATTTTCAAAAGAAAAAAAAATGTTTGTCCTCAACTTGAAATTCTATTTTTGCTGTATTGTGAAGGAAAGTCCGCACAAGGCGAAGGAAGAAAAACCAATTTTTCCAGTTGTTTTACACGAAATTTGAATATTATTTAAACAACTAGCTAAAATAACGCGCACTAAAGCGCGCGCGTGGCTTCTTTTTGTATGGTACATAAACATACTTAAAAAATTGTTGTTTTGATGAAGTTACAGTAACAATATTCTTATGATATAAAATAATGATTTTATCTCTCGGTCATCTTTAATTATTATTTATTAGAAAACATAAAGAAATCGATCACTCCGAGTCTTCGACTCGGAGCAATCGATATCTTCATGTTTTATAACAATACTTTTAGAAGTTGTTTAATTTAAAAAAGGTTTGAATTTAAAATTTTTGAATGTCTTAATTCCTTTGGAAAATCCTGTTTCAAAAATAAGATTAAAAATAGGAATTGTGCAAATATTTTTCTTCTTTTTCTAAAAGAAAATAATAATTTTGTTAAAAAAAATTGTGATTCATAAACAAAAATAATGCAAAATAAATAAATTTTCTATTTCTTAATCACAGTTGTTTAACAATTTTCTAATTTTCCTTATAAGTAAAGAATTTTTTCTTGAAAAATATATTTTTATTATCCAAATTTTTTGAAACGCAATATTGAAAAATATTTTGAATTATGCGCATTAGCTTATAAAGAAGAAAAATTATTATTTAAATCTATATGCAAATGATTCAATTTGTTTTATGACTAATAACTAGAAGTTCAATTTTATTTACTCACAAATTTAGGAAATTCCCACAACGAAATTTATTATCATTGAATTATAGTGACAATATTTGTTCTTGATAATAATTATTTCACGTTAAAATTAACATTATTTTCAAATATTTATCTTGTCTCTTGATACACTCTGTATTCTTAGAAATTTTGTCTATTCTTAAATAAAATGTTGTTATTTCTTCTAAAAATTACAATTTTTTTTTACGAATTTAAGTTTTATTTAATTAATAATTTTTTTTGCTTAATTATTAAAGCAAATTATTATTATGTATTATTAATTATTATTAATTATTGATTAATTTGATTATTATTTTCAATTATTGAAAATAATATTTACTTTTCATATATAATTTAAAATTATTTATTGCTAAAGATTTTGCTCAATTTTATGTTAGCTTCATAAAAAGAACTATTTAAATTAAAATCAAGGAATTTATAGAATTTGTTATTCTTCTTTTTAAGGAATCAGAATAAAATTTCCTATAGAAATTCAAATTTATGCAAAGAAGAAAATATTTTGTCGAATCTTAAAATCCTCCCTGTTTTTAATAAAATATAATCATTAATTTAATATAATACCTATATATACATAAAAAAAATAAAATAAATTTATATTTTTACATTTTCATACATTTATTTTTTTAGTATATCAGTTTTATTTGTAAATTACAATGAAAACAATAAAGGGCTTTACTAAAAAGCCGTTGCCTCTTTTTTTTTTGTTTTTTTTATTTTCTCGGTAGTTTTAAATGTTTTTTAAAAAGCAAATTTGTATAGCTTAAAGGCCACTTACAAATTTTATGATAATTATTTCTTGATAATTTTGTGTCGTGACTAATATTTTAAAGAAAAGTAAATTTAAAGTGGGGACAAAATATCTGATAAGAATCACCTGTACTCGCTTTATATAAACTAAATCAAAAGCACTATCAATTCACAATAAGATTGTATAGAGTATAGAAAATGATTCGATTTTTGACAATCGCTGTTTTATTCATTTCTACATCTTGTAAGTTTTTATTTTCTCAATTAATAATATTATGTAATTAATATCTGTAATAATAATGTAAAATATAATTTTAAATTGCAAACATATTTAAAAATTAAAATTAAAAACTTTTGCAAATTTCTTATTAAAATACATCAAAATAATTAAATTTTCGGGAATAATTTTGTTATTTATCGACATAATTGAATTCTTTCGAAGAGTTATTTATGTAAATAATTACATTCTTAGAAAGAATTTGATTGAAATCTAAAAGAATAATTGAATTATTCCAAAAAAATGTAATTAAAATTGTATTTAAAAGAATTGATTTCTTTCGAACAATTTTATTAAAATATTTGAAAATAATTGAATTCCTGTGAAAAATTCTAATATTTTTGTAAATAACTGAATTCTTCCAAAGAATTAAAAAAAAACATTTTTTTTAAATAATTGACTTTTTAGAGGAATTGAAATTGAATTTTTAAGAATAATTACATTTTTTGAGCTATTCTTGTAAAATTGTATTAAAAATAATTGAAATCCTGTGATGAATTTTATTCTTTGTGGAAATAAATGAATAGTTGCAAAGAATGTTATTAAAATTTTCAAAAATAATGGAATTCCGTAAAAGAATTTTATTATTTATGAAAATAATTGAATTATTGCGAAAAATTTTATTAAAATGTTTAAAAAAATTGAATTTCTGTGAAAAATGTTGTTATTTTTGAAAATAATTGAACTCTTAGGGACGATTTTATTAAAACATTTAAATATAATTGAATTCTTACAAAGAATTTTAAGAACCTTTTTTTTACATAAATAGATTTTTTCGAGGAATTGATATTAAATTTTGCAGAATAATTACATTTTTTGAGTACTTTCTGTAAAATTGTATGAAAAATAATTAAAATCCTGCGATGAATTTTATTATTTATGAAAATAATTAAATAGTTGCAAAGAATTTTATGAAGATTTTCAAAAATAATTGAATTCATGAGAAAAATTTTATTATTTTCAAAAATAATTGAATTCCTGAGAAGAATTTTATTAAAATATTTAAAAAGAATTGAATTTATGAAAAATGTTGCTATTTTTGAAAATAATTGAATTCTTCATAAGAATTTTATAAACATTGTTTAATTTCAAAAAGCTTTGAATTTGAAATTTTTGAAAATCTTAATTTTTATGGAAAAATAATAATGATTAAATATTTATTTAAAATTGAAGCAAATAGAACATTTTTCTGAGTAATAATTTTTAAATTGAATGAGAATATTCTTTAGAGTCAAGGAGAAGTAAAAATTTTTTCTGGAATTCAAGGGAAATGTTTGAAACACTTTAAGGACATAAATTTTCTGGTAGTTTCGATGTAAATATTAGTTTTTTCAAACAGGTGCGGTTTTTGAAATTAATGTTTTTTGTAATTGTTAAAAGATGATTAAAAAGAGAATAGTTAAAAAGTTGAATAAATTTTAAAAATTAAAAATTTTCTTAATTTTTGATTAATGGAAAAAAATGTTAATTGTAGATTTTTGCTTCTTTCAGCGGCAATTGCAAATTTATTTTCTTCACCTCAATATAGAAGAAATGATATTGTAGCTAAAATCCAAGACGCTCCCTATGTGGCGAGTCTTTTTATAAACAAAAAATTGAAATGTGGTGCTGTTATAATTACCGATTCATTTCTCCTAACTTCAGCAGACTGTCTTCAATTTGACGATGTGACAGTTTATGAAATTCGTACTGGATCACTTTCCCTTAATTATGGTGGTACAATACATAAAGTGGAATATCTATTGAGACATCCGAAATTTCAAATAAATAATGTTAAATTACCAGTTGACGATATTGGATTAGTTAAAGTGAGGGGAACATTTTTATTTGATGGAACAAGAGATGCTATACCAATTTTTCCTCATAAATATTTATTAACTGGTAGTTATGGTAAAATATTTGGATGGGGTCTGACAGATTCGACATATCCAATTCAGTTGAGAACAGGACCGGTTACCATTGATAATGTGGAAAGATGTAATGATCACTTTCAAGGATTTTTGCCCAATGGTCAAATTTGTGCGATATCGACTGCGCCTAAGGTTCCATGCGATAGAGATTCTGGTGGTCCATTAGTGGTGGGAATTCATCTCGTTGGTATTATTTCATGGGGCAAAGAATGTATTGTAAACAATCAACCGCATGCTTATACTTTCGTTAGTTTCTATCGCGAATGGATCGATGAAAGTATTAATAATTATATGAATCGTGATAAGAAACTTTATGGTTATCGTTACTGATGATAATAATACACAATGTAAATAATGGTAATATAATAATAATAATACAAAAATATACTTCTGTATTACACTTGAATTAATATTTATATATATTTTTTTTACGTATTACAAGAAATTTTTACTAAAACTACTTTTAAGTATCTGTTTTACACCTTTGAAAAAAAAAAAAACTAAAATTGTAATTAATGTTTCCCATGCATCAAAAATAATTAATTTTGATTTGAAAAATAATTTTTTAAAATTATTTTGTGCTATGTTTCTCTAGATATTTATTTTTTCTCGATTTTTTATAAAAATAAAAAATTAAAATTGATTAATTCAATTTTTTAAACAAAAATAAAGAAATAAAAAATATTAATAATTTATTTTTTAAAAGAAAGAGTAAAAGAATTAAAATTGATTAATTTGATTTTTATTCAAGAATAAAAAAATAAAATTGGTTAATTTATTCATTAGTTCATTTTTTATACCTAGAGAAAAATTCCATTTGAAGTTGAACCAAATATAATTTATTTGGTTTTAATTAAAATTTTTTTTCCAAACAAATAAAATGTTTTTTTCATATATAAACTTATGAATCACTTTTTAATAAAAAAAAGTAAAACAGGAAATAAAAAAAATTTAGATGTGTGTATTTTGAAATAAATTAGTCATTATTGTATAGGAAATTGACGTATTTTATTTAAACCGAATGAAATATGTGTCATACATTATTTATTCAACATTATTTATTCAATTGTGACAAAATATTCTTTCATTCCATTAACTCAAATTTACCTTCAAAAATTTTTTTTATTATTACAAATGAAATGCTTTCAGCCATCTAAAAACTACTATTTCTGTTTTTTTTGAGAATTTTCACTACTTTAAATTCGCTAATAATAGAATTAAAGAAACTATTCTCAAAAATTAAAATCCAATTCTTTAAGACGATTCAATTATTTTAAAAATTCAATTATTTTCAATATCTAGTATTTTCATAAAATTTCGCAAAAGAATTCAATTATTTAAAAAAATATTGATAAAATTCATCCAAAATTCAATTATTTTCACAAATAATAAAATTTCCACGGGAATTCAATTAATTTAGAATAGCATTTTCAAAAAAAAAAAAAATATTCAACAAAATTTTTATACAATTCTTCACAATAATTCAATTACTTTCACTGATAATAACATTTTTCATGAAAATTCAATTATTTCTGAAAATTTTAATAAAATTCTTTGCAACTATTTAATTAATTATTACATGAAATAATAAAACTCATCGAAGAATTTCAATTATTTTTAATACTATTTTAAATCAATTAATCGAAAAATTCAATTATTTTCACAAATAAAATTTTCCACAAGAATTCAATTATTTACAATTTTCGTAATATTTATTATAATTGGAAAAAATTAATTATTTATAACAATGTTTATACAATTCTTTTAAAGAATTCAATTATTTTCAAAAATAACAACATTTTTCACAGAAATTCAATTCTTTTTAAACATTTTAATAAAATTTTTAGCAATAATTCAATTATTTTCATAAATAATAAAATTTTTCTGATGAATTCAATTATTTTTGAAAATCTTAATAAAATTCTGTGCAACCATTCAATTATTTTCATAAACAATAAAATTTATCGCAGGATTACAATTATTTACAAAAATATTTGAATTTCTAACATGAATTCAATTATTTTCAAATATTTTAATAAAATTCTTACCAAAAATTTAATTATTTACATAAATAATAAAATTCTTTTAAGGAATTTCATTATTTTTGAAAATTTTAATAAAATTTCTTGCAACTATTCAATTATTTTCGTAAATAATAAAATTCATGGCAGGATTTCAATTATTTTTAATGCAATTTAACATGAATTGCTCAAAAAATGCAATTATTCTTAAAAATTTAATTTCAATTCCTCGAAAAAATCAATTATTTAAAAAAAATGTTTTTTTTTAATTCTTTGGAAGAATTCAATTATTTTCAAATATTTTAATAAAATCGTTCGAAAGAAATCAATTATTTTTAATACAATTTTAATTACATTTTTTTGTAATAATTCAATTTTTCTTTTAGATTTTAATAAAATTCTTTCCAAGAATTTAATTATTTACATAAATAATTCTTCGATAAAATTTAATTATGTCGATAAATAACAAAATTATTCTGGAAATTATTCAATTATTTTGAGGCATTCTAATAAAATTCTTTGCAAAATTCAATTATTTTCATAAATAACAATATTTATCACAATAATTCAATTATTATTAAAAGTAGTAATTGTCTTCTTGGAAGTTCAATTACTTAAAAAAATTCTAATAAAATCGTTCGCAAGAATTCAATTATATTCACAAAAAATATAATAAAATGCTTTTTAGGAATTCAATTATTTTCAAAACAATTTAATAAAATGCCGCACTGACATTCAATTATTTATTGTCAAAAAGTTTAATAGAATTCTTTGTAAAATTTAATTATTTTTAAAATCTTTTCGCAATTCAATGTCTTTCAGTATCTACTATTTTCATAAAATTTCCAAACAGAATTCAATTATTTAAAAATTTTGTTGTAAAAATCTTCGTAAGAATTCAATTCTTTTCATGAATAATAAAAATTTCTCAGGAATTTAATTGTTTAAATTTTTTTTATAAAATTCTTCGTAAGAATTAAATTATTTTTATAAATATTTTAATTCTTTCATGAATAATAAAATTCGTTGCAGGAATTAAATTTATTAGCAGGATAAGAAAGAAGTAGGTAAATATTTTTGATGAAAATTAGGAAAAAGTCAGAAAATTAATTATCGAGTGCGAAGTCTGTGATCAGGACCCTAAATAATCATTTTTTTTAAACATTAAAATATGAAAATATTGATCACTTCGAGTGATCGATATTTTCATGTTTTATAATAATTAAAGATGACAGAGTGATAAAATCATTTTATAATGATTGTTTTTAATTACTTAAATTTTATTTTGAACCTCATTTTCGAAATGTAGTGGCCAATGAATCTTCACTTTGTTACTGATGGAAAAAAAATACTAAAATTATAGAAAAACATCGGTAATAGTATATATATATATAAAGAACAGAAAAGTGGAATTTGTTTTTTGTTTTGCGGTCATTGCGTGTTTGTGGAAGGTAGTTTTATTCCAGAAGTCGGTGACCATCTTGTCTTTATTTTTATATCGACACAAGTTCTCGTAGCCTTCTCATAATTTACGATCACGGCATCATCATTATCTTGAAAGTACCATTTGAGTATATACTTTGTATCGGTCGATGAGATGTGCGAGAAAATATCATCCAGGAATCGATCATCTCATTCTTCCGGCATATTATAGTTCTCACACTATCTAAATATATTATATACATTACATAGTTTATGACGATTAAAAAATAATTTTCCTTTTCTGCAAATCATTTCTCTAGTTACAATATTGTCGCAGTGGTTGTTATTGTTGTACATATAAATTATGTTACTTGGACAAAAAAAGTGAAGTAATCATATGTTGCAGAATATTCTTATTATTTAGTGCCATAAAAATAATTTGTGTAATCAACACAATCGAAATTATATTTTTATATAAATAATAATTAAATGAATACTAATAATGATAATAATAATAATAATAATAATAATAAAAACTAAACTTTTTCGATTTTTTTTCAAAATAAACTTTATTTGGTTCAAATAAATATTTTATTTTGACAGATAATAAAATAATTGACTAAAAATTCAAATAAAAATTGTATTAAAAATTTTAAATAATAAATAATAATTATTTCAATAATATTAAAAATTGTATTTTTTAAGAATAAAATGTTTACTTAAAACAAATAAATAATTTACTTGACTCTGAGACAAACATACATTTGTTTAACTCAAATAAAATTTTTCTTCATGGTTGTAGATATATCAAAGCAGTGATTTCAATAATAGTCTAATTAAAAATATAAGTTTTATATGCAGAGGAAAAGAATTAATAAGAAGTGAATACTATTTTTTTTTAAATGATTATTAACAATGTAAGAAACATAATGAGCTTGATTTCCAAATGTATTTCTCGAGTTGGCACGAAAAGTTGATTTAAATACATCAGAGAATACAAGTAGGAATTTATTATTGTATAAGTGTGTTTAATTTGCACGGCAAATGAGTTAAGAGTTACGCTTCCTTTGGTCTATCTCTTCAAAAGAATTTAATAAGCCTAATATCTTCTTTAAATCTCCCATCAAGCTTTTAATTAAAATCTTAATTGCGTCTTTATAATTAATATAATTTTACTGATATATCACGGTTCTTTCTTTTTACACAATTCATGTTTATATATTTAAACAATACCAAATATTATCATCGTTTATTTTTTAAGTTTACGAAAATAAAAGAAATTTACATTTTTGAATTTGGTATCTTTATTTGTAGGTAATTAATTATGGTAATTAGTATGCTATTTCAGTTTTTCTTTTGAGAATTTCCACTATTTTCAATTCGCTTATACTAGAAATTACTTTAAAAAAAAAGTTCGAAATTAAATTATTTTCAATGTCTAGTATTTTCATAAAATTTCGCAAATGAATTAAATTATTTTAATAAAAAAATTGATAAAATTCATCCAAACTTCAATTATTTTCATAAATAATAAAATTTCCACAGGAATTCAATTAATTTAGAATAGCAGTTTCAAAAAAATTTCGAAAAAATCAATTATTTAACAAAATTTTTATATAATTCTTCCCAAAAATTCAATTACTTTCACTAATATTAACATTTTTCATGGAAATACAATTATATAAAAATTTTTTTGATAAAATTCTAAGCGGGAATTTATTTATTTTCATAATTAATAAAACTCATTAAAGAATTTCTATTACTTTTATTCCTACTATTTTAAATTAATTAATAAAAAAATTCAATTATTTTCACAAATAAAGTTTTCCACGAGAATTCAATTATTTAAAATAAAATTTTCATAATATAGTTATAATTCGAAAAAATTAATTATTTGAAACAATTTTTTGCTAAAATTCTTATAAAGAATTCAATTATTTAAAAAAAAAAAAATTTTTTACAG